CATTTACCATATTATAATTTTGCATAGTAATTTTTTTTAGCTGCATAGTAGCCGGCAGGTAGCTTACCAAAACGATGCCCATCCGTCACCGGTAGCTCAGCTGGCGTGTACCTGTTGCATTTTATGCCCTCTTTTTCTTTTAAGTATTACGGCGCAGTATCTGAGGCGTTTCCTCCCTCTAGCTAACGTGTATGATGATGATGATTATGATCCTTCAACCTTGCAGATTACTTCACTGACGTCAGGTTTCCTGTTACCAATGGTTGGAATGATTTGGAGAAGCTTGTGAAGATTTTCAGTGAGGGCTCCTGTCTCCGAAGCGCACTGGGACCACCAGGTTTCGCGATCGTTAAGTAGACTTTGTTTGAGGTTGCGGCGGACTTCATCGCAGCTTGAATCGGCTGGGATAGCTTGAGCGTGCAGTGATCCAGCCTCTCAGTGGACGTTCAACGATTACATGGTATGATTGTCCAGAAGAAAGCAGCGTCTTCTGCAAGAAATTCCTGTGATGTGCGTCCACTGTAGGTGGAGCACTATCGAGCGCATCTGATAAGGAAGATTGATAGGCCAGTTGAATGAAGCGGTTAGCTAGGCTTTTGGTATCCAGTTTATAGTGCTTGGCTTTCGAAGAACCACCAAGGCGCATACAGATGTCCGCACAAACCAGAGCGTGGTCTGAGTCGAGGTAGGTGGACCAAATTGATTTGCGATCCCGTGCATTACTTCGCCATCTGAAATTACTATGTGATCAGTTTGTGACCACGTTTGTGTCGGCGGTGGACGCCAACTAACTGCGCGTCTCTTACGATGCCTGAAGTTCGTGCTCGCGAGAAAGTGCGTGTTATCCTCACATAACGTGAGAAGATTCTCTCCGTTATCAGAGCGACTTATCAAGAGCATGACGGCCACCGAGATGATGTTCACATGGCAGCAGGCGACCGACCCGTGCATTGAAGTCTCCGGTAAGGACAACGACATTGGATTTCTCGCCTTTACTCAACTGCTGGTGGAGCCTATGATATCGTTCTTAACTGCTGACGCACAACTTCAGTCGGTTGGAGCGTAGGCCGAAACCACAAACAAATTGCGTCTCTCCGTTCGATGCGCATTGATCTTGCACGTGCCTTGAAGTCCAACTACGAATTTGGCCGTTGCTCTTTTCGTTGGATTATTTTACACCACGGACTGCGGATTCTATATTTTATTTTTAACCGGAGCAATTCGTTTTTTCTAATCAGGTCTCAAGGTCAATGTTGTCCTGCTCCGTCAACCACTTGAAAACGTTGCATGATATTGCCTTAAATCCGTGCCTTATCAAATACGGCCATAAAGTCAGGAACACTTGCAATCGTATTACGAATAAATGTCTCGGGAAAAAGCGTAAGTATCGTGCTGGCCGGCAATCTGGCCTCAGTCGTTTTTCTGTCGACAAAGCGCAAGTCCCACTGATACTTTCCAGTAATATTCGCTCGCTCCTTGGTAAAATCAGTGAACTCAGTGACATAATGCACCGAAATGAGTATGTTGATACAGGAATTGTTCTGTTACAGGAAAGCTGGTTGCATGCTGATGTAGAAAATGGGGTAGTTCAACTCAGTGGTTCTTTTCCCATCAGGTCTGACCGCCCCGGGTAGCCCCAGTTCCGTGGTGTTGGCGTTATAACTTACGTTACTCATCGTTGGTGCAACGCAGCAAGCATAACACTTATGTACTCAACGATTTCTATAAGCTGCCATTTAGTTGAGTGTAAACCGAAGTTCCTAACTGGCTTTCGATCAGTAATCGTTGGGAACGTATACATTGCTCCTCACACATCTGCATCCGAGTTAAAGCTTTTTGAAGACCAACTTTCTTCAACGCCACTGTTGTAATTATATTGTTCTATCTGTATTGTGGCTGGCGACTTCAATAGAAAGGATACAACATTCTTGAAAACACTTCGCTTGGTAGACCTAGTGACTGTTTCGACCAGACAAGATGCTCAGTTGGACGCTGTGTTCACAAATAAAAGACAGTTATTTGCCATACAAAAGCGCGCTCCTTTAAGCATCTCAAAACATTGTATTTTAAAACTGTGTTCGTTCATCTACAGCAGATCTAAGTTTTTAACGCTGACCAAGACCTTACAAGGTTATCAAACGGCGAAATTGCTCCTTGGAAAGTGTCACGAGGCTCCAGACGATGTTTTCTTTAACTGATTTTTCGGTCTTCAACGATGAGGACCTGTCGCTCGAATGTGACCATCTTACGGACTACATCAAATATTGCTTTGACATGTGTTGCCCTGTTGAAACGATCTATCTAAGAGCAGATAGATTTTCATCACCACTACTAAAGCGACTTCGAAGGATGAAAGAATGGGCCTACAAGTGCAAGAATGCTACCGGTGTCAAAAGCCTAACCACAGCAGTTAAATCAATTATACATCGAAGCAGTTTTAGGCAACCATAACTGTCACGATCTATGGGGGCTTCTGAGGCATCTCTGTGGTAAGAGCGTTTACAGTCGGAGAGGTGAATAGGATGTGGATAAACCGAATTCGAAGTTTAGTCCCGCCTCACTAAGCTCATCTTCCTTACCCTTATTCATTACCTCAAGTCCAGCCGCGCCCTTCGATCAAAGCAACGTCCACAAGGAACTCAAAAGATTAAAGGCAACAAAAGCTTGTTTTCCTGATGCTCTCTCACCCTTAGCTTTGAAGGAGTGTGCTGCTTCTCTCACAATGGCTCTAACAGACCTCTTTACCAAGTGCCTCATTACGGGTGTGATCCCGGACATTTGGAAAGCGGCCAGTATTACTCCAGTACCAAAAACTGGATCTCAAAACTATCGCCCACTTGCATGTACATCTGTGCTCCTAAAAGTTTTCGAAAGCTTCTTAATTCCGCGGATTTTTTCAGCCGCTCCTGAAGACGATATCTACCAGTTCGCATATAGACCCCAGCGCTCCACATCGGATGCAGTGGTATATGTCGTTCATTCCATAGCCTCTGCATTTGATCAAAAATGTAAATCCCTACGGCTTCTCTTTCTGGATTATTTGAATGCCTTTGGAAGCTTGGATAGGTCAAGGTTGCTAAATCTGCTATCCGAAAATGGAGTTCACCCTGGTGTGTGTAATCTGTTACGTGACTATTTTACAGATCGTACTCACTTCACCAAGTTGAACGGTAAGAAATCCTCTGTCCTCCATGCCGACTGTGGTGTTCTACAGGGAGCGATCCTGTCACCTTTTCTATTTTCCTTGTATGTTGAACATCTCCCTATACAAACCACGTTTATAGGGTGTAAGTATGCTGATGATGTGCTGGGATGTATGTCCCCCATTAACCATGATTTTTCATCACTTCATTGTGGGTTGGAAAATCTGATGGAATGGTCTTCATCCAAATCACTTATGCTTAATGCTCCTAAATGCAAGCATGTAGGATTTTCTTTTCTACTTGGCGATAAGTTGCAGTCCCTCATGGATTTCTCCCCCACACTTACTGTGAATGAAAATCCCATATCCAGCTCTTCCACCGTCAAGTATCTCGGCGTTTTTTTTGTCCCAGAACCTTTCTTGGTCCGCGCACGTCTGTAAAACTTTTCAAAAAGTCAGAAACCTTTCTTTTTATGCCCTCAGACTTATGGTGCTTTCAGTACCTCGTAGTTTACTATTCAGGTTTGTGTTCCTCTTGTATTATTTCCCATTGGCTATACTACTCTCCTGTCGTTTTTCCTGGACTGCTTCAGAAAGACTACATCTTATTGGTGTGGTCTATAAAGCACATTGCCAGATGCAGCGGCTTGTCTAGAGATTCTTTAGTTGATTTGATTACTTCTAGACATCTTGGTGCCTGCAATGATTTTTCTTTCAAAGGTACTAACTGATCGATTTCATCCACTTCACAATGATCTTCCCAAAACGCTCTCTTTCTCTTCCACCCGTTCGAAATTCAGAATTTCATTCTCCCACAAATAATCGTATCGTAATACTCTTTTGCGTTATCTCTCACGATTGCTTGTTGACCCAGCGGAAGTCACAAACATGCTGCGCGAGCGCTTGTTGGAGTAACAGTTCTGCTTTTTCTCCACTTTTCTACCCAAAAATGTATATTGTTATTACCATCCAGGTGTCTGCAGTGGTTGTGTAAATGCTGAAAATGAACCCATTAGGGTACATAAAGCTTATTTTGACTTGACTTGACTTGAACCAATCGCGCAGTGAGGCCTCAGCTTTATCACTCAATACAGTGCCAACACCAGCCCAGCCAGCTACAGCAACGTCTGTGTTGCCAGAGGAATACAGGGAATATTTGGTCCTGGGATCAGCGGAGGACGTCAACTTAACTACAATGCTGGAGTCATGTAACCGAGCCTCAGAAAGACAACAGGGACTCCAAGATGCGCGCTAGGCCTGCCTGTTGTCTGATCTGCATACGGCGTCTAACGTTGAAAGCTGCCAGCCGAGACCGAGAGCTGGGCTGAAGGAGAGTCACTGGTTGGACTCTGGACATGAGCGAGACTGTAATCAGAGGTAGCTTCAGAGGAACTATTTGCGAACCTAGAATTCGTATGTGATAGGTGTGAGTAAGTAGTGAGGATCGCAGGAGCGGGAGGGAGCGACATGGTAGTTCTAGTTGAGGGATCGCGATTTAATTTAGTGTCGAACTCGGTTGGCGGTTGCGTTCATTGGGACTTTTTATTAGGTAATCAGCTTTTGGGCTATACTAGCTCTTAACACTGTGGCTTACATCTGATATCATCTTTTTGGATCTTTGTTATGTCTTCACCTTATTTCGCTATATCTGGTCATTAGCAGACGTTGTAATTGCAATGTAGCATTCACGCTCGTTCACCAACATCCATTCCCTATCCCTAATGAGATACAAATGTTCCATTGAGTCAACCTTGCCACTAAATGTCAATCCCTTGATCTAAACCACCTTACTGAGAGATGCTATTCCTACGCTCTGTTATTCACAACTTGCTCATTTCCTTTTCTCTTCTCCTTGAAGAGTCTTTCACTTTTACAAGAGGAGAATCTCCGGCTTGGTTCTACTCACAACTAGCTGGAACCTATGCAAAGTAAGTTGTTTCGATCCGATCACTTGTATTGTGGCTTGCCGCCTCTGTTAAAATGATGACACTAGCTTACCTTTCCACCCTAGAGTGTCAACTCCATCATAATACCTATTTTTAATTAGCCATTGCATTATATGTATATCGTCGTAAAATTCAGTTCTCCGAAAATAAACGGTTTATTCGGCAAATGTATACTAGCTATCTATATATTTATATCTATTGTTCTTGTACTTCCATAAACAATGACGATTTTTTGCCCACGGGACTTCTCCTTTGATTCAATTAAATATACGATGGAGTCTCCACCGTAGCATGTCCGAACTTCAGCCAGTCAGCAGAGCCTCGTTGACGGGCGACTAGACTTTTTTGCGTTCAGTGACAATATTAGTCAGGTTCGTCTCCGGTTGACTCTGGCTCGTTACTTGGATCCATATGTTCCTTCTGACTGGACACTCTCATTACAGATGTCTCCTTTATTGTCGCCTTGTTGCTCTCAGGTGTTCATTTTCCACTTAAAATTGTACTTTCATTCCCTTATCCGTGGTCCATCCTTTGTTTTTTGACTTCTGCACAAATTCGCTTGATTGTGCACTTTATGCAACACGCCTAGTTATACTGGGTGTTGCTCAGTTTCTAAGGCTCGTCTTTCGAAGTATGAAACGTATTTCTTATCACACCTCTTCCAGTTAACAGATTTGATTGCCCCTATTTTGAGAATACTCATCGTTCGGTATCTCACAATTCTCACACTTCAACCGCCTTGACCCAGTCGAAGGATGTCGATTATTCTTCCATGCAACTTAGACCCGTTGCCGAGTTTCACCCACTACGTACCTATCAGTCGATGTCACTAGTTACACGTCATCGTCTTCCAGTGGTGCTTCTGTGTCACATAACCGTAAGTTGTGAGCGGTGACTGTAGCCTTATGATGGAGAAATATGGTTGATTGCGGGGATCTGCTACAGGATTTAAATACCCTAAACGGGAAGTAAGCATTGGTGCACCCAAGGTTAGTCATTAACAATTGGCCACGCTGTAAAAGTGAGGCAGCATGTGCGAGATGGATTCCTTGCGGCTTTCATCGCCCCGCGTTATCAGCTACCATACCTTCCTGACATCCCAGTGCGTGACACATCTTGAAGGAGGAGACCGATTAGGTGACAACAAGAGACAACCTACTGACGTAGACTACAAGCGATGTTTTGCAATTTATCTAGCCAAGCACTAGGTGGACCCAAGTCGTCGATTACTGCTTCACACACATATACATGATAGCAAGTAAGTTTGTTACCTTATAAGACTACTCCTTCGCTTGCCACGTGAGTGTTCTCGGTGCTTTTCGTCACGTGGCTTTTCGTGTCTTCTGTTTACTCATGTGATATCTAATTACGCGTTACCGCACTACGGTTTTTCTAGCTATCCTCATCAACTTCCTTTGCATCCTTTCGCACCTGTTTATAGCGTTCTTTGTGCGTTAATCCTTCATGCTCCTAAGCTGCTATCTGGTTGGTATCCCCTGTATACTAAAACTCATTCCATTCCTTCTATTCAGTTCATAAAGCATCATATGATTGCTGGATTGTGATAGAACGAATTGCTGAATATCGCATTGTAGCAAAACGACGAAGTGAAATTAAAACGCTGAACTGGAGAGCTATAGGAAAAGAACATGGATGTTACTGAGGTCGCGAGTCAAAAGAGCAAATTGGTGATCGTCCCTCCTCAATTACTGACCTTCTAGGTATCGGCACCGGAACATCTCACGCTAACGCGATTAGCTCTTCCTGGTGCTCTGTAATGCTGACCTCCGTACATTTTTTATGGAACTAAAATTTCATCGAAAAGCACAAAGCTAAGTCATAGTGACGTATTTGTAGGTTAAACTGCGTCTTAATACTGAACATTGGTTCAATTGTTCATTTGTTCTCCGAGCTTGGCGGTTTTCTCGCCAGGCTCGGAGAACAAATGAACAATTGATTCATCAACCCGAGCTACCAGTATTTCGAAACATTTTAAACTGAACATTGGTACCCTTCAGCCACTACTGCCTTGTTCTAGACCTCTGATCGCGCTTTTTTGCTATTCAGTTCTACACTTGAGCCATCATATGCCGTTGGACCCCTCTTCCGATTGGTTAATACACCGCTTCTTGTTGAACGCCCGGCGGCTCCTGCTGCGGCCTGCGAGTACCCTTCACAAATGTTTGCAGTATTATGAACAAGCGCGATGAGCTTTGTTGTTTCGTTGCGTCTGAGCCTCCAGACATAGTGGGACTCGCAGAGACATGACTCGATTCAAAGTTATACCCCCAGGAACTTGAACTCAAAGGTTACTCCTGCTTCCGATGCGATAGACTAACGAATGCCCACGGTGGTATCTTGCTCTACATCCGGTCTTCCTTGCGTGGGAGACTTGTGAACACCTACCGAAGTGACGATGGTTTGTGTGAACTACTCTGGTTCTCCATCCACCTCAGGCGCGGAGAACTACTTGTGGGCGCAGTCTATCGCAGCCCCCTGAGTCGTTGTTTGAATTGGCTGTCCCATCTTCAAACCTACATTAGTCGTCCACACTTTCTACTTATGCGCGATTTTAACTGTTCTCGATTACGATGGTCTGATGTGAATTTGATGCCTGGACATTGTGAGGTTGAAGTAAAGTTCGTGGATTTGGTACTTGAAACTGGTGCATCGCAACACATATGCCAGCCAACACGCATAACGCCACACTCAACCCCCTCCTGTCTCGACCTGATGTTAGCGAGCTACGAACAACGAGTGCGTGACTTTCGGATCCTGGAGCCCCTGGCTACCAGCGACCACTCAGTGCTCATAGCTGATATAGAAATACCTTCGCCGTATTCAGGTCCGCTGGGATCGGCTTACAATTACTGGAAAACGGACTATGACGGTCCAACTCGAGCCGCGAGCCAACTGGATCGGTCTCTGTCACAATCTGCATCTATGGAAGACTGTTTGACGTTTATAAAAGAGAGATTGAGATCACTGTGTTCCCAATTTGTGCCCTTTAAATGTCGGAAGGTTGGACCGATTAAGCCTCATTGGTTTGACAAGGAGTATAGAAATCTGGCTCGGAGGCGGCGCAGACTGGGACAGATTCCTCCTCTCTGGCTCTGCCAATGACTAAGAAGGGGATAAAAGTCAGCGGGACCTCTGCAACAGTGCAAAAATGAATAAGCGCCGATATTTCGAAGAGCAGCTCGCAATAGGCGCGAAGACCGCCTACGTGAAACGACGCCTGAAGCCGGCAGGTGATGTGCCAGTGCTGGATCGCCCAGACCGGCAGCCCCTAATCTCTAGCACTGAGCGTGCGTCCGCGTTGGCGGCGCACTTCGCTTCTGTATTTGCAAATGGCCAGGTGTCTGTTCCGAGTTCGTGTACCGCTTTTACTGAACTCGACACTCTGAATTGCGGCATTGAAAATGTATATCAATGACTCGCTAGCCTTGAAGGCACCAAACCTGCCGGACCTAATGGGCTTTGCAAATTCCTCGAACACCGCTACATCCACCGCAAGCCTGACACCATTGCATTTTTAGGCATAAGTGCTGCATTCGAATCGGTTAACCGACCTGCCCTATGGCGTTGTTTGCTGAAGAACGGGGTCCCGGGAAATTATACAGCCATCCTACGCGTACCACACCTTAATACCTTCGATAAAGTGAGGGTCTCTGGCAAGCTTTATTTCTTCTTCGCTCTCAAAAGCGGTATGCGACAGCGTTGCCTTGTGTCCCGTTCCTCTCCAATTTTGCGTTTGAAGACTTTCTGTCGAGAGCTCTGGCAGGTTACCAAAATTTCGGTCTGCGGCTACTACCATGTAACCGAGCGAAGGACTTAGAATATTCTGATGCAATCACTTTGATTAATGACGACTCACAGGGCTTGCAAACCATGCTGAACCATTTAGTGACCGAGGCTTCAAGGTACTGAAAGGGCTTCGCCTCGTCGAAGTGTAAAGTGCTGCTTCAGAATTGGCACTCGCCTGTTCCTGTGCTCAAGTCACTTTCGGTCATCATCTCTCCTGTCATGACTGCCCTTTTCAACAGGTCACTGTCCGAAGGTTCCTTGCCGATTGACTGGAAATGTTCGGTGGTGAAGCCTATTTTGAAAGGCGGCGACGCTGACAAACTAGACAAGTACATGATAATTGCTCTGACACCTATTTTGGCACAGGTTGCTGAGAAAATCGTGAAGAAGGAAGTGTTCAAGTTGTTCCAGTCAAAAGATGTCCTGACACCCGCACAACACGGTTTTATGCAAGACCGCTCATGCATTACAAACTTGCTTGTGAAGAGGCATGATTGGTGGTTGCAGACTATAAGCAAGAAGAACTCTGTCGAGTGACATTCATCGATTTCAGTAAAGCGTTCGATAAGGTCAGCCATGAGGTTCTCCTTCACAAACAGGATGTGCGGTGTCGGTGGCTCACTGCACCGGTGGATCTGTGACTTTCTTGTTGGACGAAAGTTGAGGGTACCGGTCGACGACCATCTAACTGCTGGTATCCCTCTACAAATGGCGTGCCTCAAGACACTGTGCTGTGGCCCACTCTGTTTCTGATCCACATCAACGATATCTACCCCAGCTTCTCCGATCGCCGTGTGCCTTGTTTGCGGACGACATGAAGATTTGGAGAGAAATGGACGCTCCCGACGACCGTGGCCTACTTCAGCAAGACCTCAACTGCCTATCCACATGGTCTGCAGAAGTTCTTCTCCCGATCAATCCAGCCAAGTCTGTATTTATGCGCCTGGGGAAGGGTGCTGACGGCCGAACCTACACCCTTGACGGCCAACCGTATATCCCACACCCGTGAAGGACCTAGGTGTACTCTCACGCTACGATTTAAAGTCCGTGCACAACACGAACAGGATATATCGTAACGGACTGCGCATGCTTTGGGTGCTCAAACGTAGCTTCGGCAAATGGTCTGAAGAGGTTGCCACTCGCCTGTTCTCTTCCATCATTAGACCAATGCTAGAGTACGGTTCGCCCGCTTACTTTCCGATTATCCGAGGCGAGGCACAAAGGATCGATCGGGTCCAACACGTTGCTACCAGGCTCATCCTGAGTTTACATGACTTGGGGTATGAAGACCGGTGCGAGAAACTAGGACTCTACACCTTATCCTACCGTCGGGTGCGAGTCGACCTCATTATGACCTACCGTATTCTACATCTCGGTGACTTCCCCATGCTGAGGCCAATGCTGCACTTACGAAAGCCATGCAGCACACGCGGACACAGATACAAACTTGTCGTGCCGGATGTGAAAAGTGTTCCCCATCCACTGTTCTTCGAACTGAGAGTGATAAACATTTGGAACTGTTTACCTGAACATGTGATGGAGGCAACATCTGTGCAGCAGTTCAAAATGTTGTTAGCTTTATATTTTACCACTATTCGCTTCAGAGAACGATTGCACACTTACGATGCAATCTCACATTTGTGAGCCCTGCAATACCGTGAGTCAGATATCATAAATGTTACATTGAGAACGATAACGATGTTCACGGGTGACGTTTTTATAACGTTTTTCACCATGTTTCGGAAGAGTTGTACAGAATTCATCCCTACTTTATAATACGGTATTTAATGTTCAGTTTCTCATGTTGTCGGTCACTCAGCGAACTCATTTTCTTTGCCCGAATCCGTGTCAATCGAGTGTTAAACTATTCGGTGTGAATTGATTTGGTTTACCTTCGATGTTCGCGCTGAGATCAGACAGAATCCCTTGGAGCACCGTATGCTGACTTTTGCTACCAGCCTGTTCCTCATTACTCAACTACGTTTGTCCGGGGCAAGATGGACTCGCAGACTTAATCACGCCACTGGGTCCTCCTTCCTTTTTTGTCTGAGATGTGTTTGCATGCTATGCAGCATCCACTATTGTAGACTGGTTTAGCAGCTTTTACACTGACATTCAGCTCAGCTTTGTATTCTCTTCCTACCCCCTGCAGGAGGACATTGTATGTCTAACCTCTACCTTTGTCTTTCGGTTATTGACAAGCGGCAAATGCCTCCTACTCATACTGGCAATCTTACTTTTTCCCTTACTGGTCGCTATTTCACGATTGATTCCTTATACTTTCGTTTTCAGATTATCAGCTGAAATACTTACATTCCGCCGGGAGACGATCACGAGCGTGGCACTAGTGAACGAAGTCAACACGTGCGACTTCTTTTTCCTCGTTTTGGTTGCCCTTTGTTGGGTTCCATTCGTACTACAATCTCCCGAGATCACCTTTCATGCCATGACGTTCCTGTTGTTATTTATCGTTTTAACGATAGCTATCATATGCATGGGCTCCGCTCTATTGGCCATGTCAGATGGAACATTTCTCTCCCAGCCATCTCCTTATTGTCACTCCAGTTACTTTGATCAGAGCTCCATCGTCCACAGCGTTCTGGCTTGTGACGATGCCTACCATTACCACTGTTTTACCAGTTTCGTATTTTTTATTTTTTGTTGCTTATTAATAAAACATGTTTTCTTGAAGGTTTTCATTCTGACATTCGCCTACATGCCCACGCGAATACAGGAATTTTCCAGGTTTCCTCACTGACCGCACTTTCTTCATAATACCGCCTTAGTAGTAGTAACGTCTCATCCACATCACATTCAATGATGATACCGGTGTTTTCCTGTCTGCTGCAAAGCTAAGTCCAATTCTGTCCTATTTTTAGCAGTCGCTCACGGACCGGCTTGCGCAATCACATTGAACTTCACACCTGTCTCCCGCTGGTGATAGTCTTATTTATGATTTACAATTTTCCATCAAGCCGCATTCATCTGGCGTTTCTGGATGGATATTCATCTTGTTCCTTTTTGAATAAATCCACTGGATTCGCACCGCTTGTTATCAGCTGCCCACCGCTGCATCTAGTTAGGCACAGAAAAATACACGATGAGTTTGATTATAAATGTTAGTCAGTCTGGAAGATGTCGTCGTCACGGACATGTACACTGAGATGGGTCACGTCGGTGGTTAGAAGTTCCGTTGCGGAGCTAGTAACCCAACTGAAGCTGGCTTTTCATGTTTGATCCTTATTCTTCCGGCTTGATGAGAACAATCTACTTTCCCTCATTCAATCACGCCAAGATTGTTGCGATGGTTTGCCTACCCCTGTGACTTATTAAGCTACGGTGGGGGGGGGCACTTCTCAAGTGCCTACAGAGCCATTCATACAAAACAAGTCAATGGTTATGAGTCAAACTAACAGTCTCACAATCCTCTTCTGAGAATGGGGACATTTCGATGGCCCTCTACCTCCTGGGATACAGCCTGATGATTCTTTCAGCTAGGGCGCTGCACGAGTTGTTAACTTACTCTTATCGACCCACCGTATTTCTCTTTCATTTGAGTAGACAGTGTCACGGGTCTGAATTTCGCCGATCTTTTATTTATCTCGCTCCGTTTTGTTCTAGTTCGTTTCATTTGCACAACCTATCGAATAAATCAGGCGGTATCATAGGCACCGCAAGAGTAATGCGGATACCGATGTGTTTTCATAATAGTCGGAATGTTAAGCTGTACGGTGAACAAACGATGCAGCTGTTCTTCTCACTGAATGTGTGCTATGCTCTGCTGAGCTTCTATCGTAATCCTTTTACTTGGCAATTGTGCATCCTCGTCTATACTTGTAGCCACTATATAAATGAAGGCAGACTTAAACTTTGGTAGTTTTGAGGCTTGCTCATGCTCTAGACTCTTCGGATCGAACTGAGGGTAACGTGTCATGTCGCCAGTGTTAACAATAGCGCTTTTCCCCTTAAGCTACTGGTCGCAATTCTGAAGCAGATGTTGATTGATTCGGCCTGCTATTCTGAAAAATTTTCAGCGCATTACTCTTAGTGATCACTGTCAATCGACCACCTACCTGTGTTCACATATAGGCAGTCACACGGTGAAATGGGGGCCGATACGGATAGCGTTCCTCAACGGAGCGACCACGCCACAGCCATAAAAGTCGTAATTCCATTTTCGTTTTTTTTCTCCTATGTGCCCTAATTTAGCAGACTAACAAATTCTCCAAGTGAACAGATAAGTCGAGTGTTTACCGGTTCACAACTCAAAATCCAAACGACTTATCACAGGTAGGCGATTTTAGATGTAAGAGTTTTCAGTTACCAAGTCAGTTAACTACGCACGCTCGTGAGATAACTGGACCATCGTTTCTGTCTACCGATTGAACGCGTGGCCGGCTTAAGCTATACTGACTATATCGGTTTACATGGTGACGCTCTGCAAAATACGCAATTCATTCTGAATCGTATAGGTAAAAATTCACTACATCTAAACAGTCACACAGCGATCACACACCCTGAAAAGCACTGTACGGTTATTCCATCCTTTCGGGAATCGTCAGCAGTGCATATTCCATCTGACACCTATGGTGGTCGAACACGCAACTCGACTGTTTCCAACCGGTGGTTGAGACTGCTGAGCTACGCGAGATAGTAACGACCGTCGTGACTAAGTTACTAGACTTGATTTAGCGCTGCTCACTCTCCACTGATCTATACGTTGTTGCCTTGCAGAGGCCAAGGTAGCCCCCTCACCAAGGGTCGAGCTTCCCAAACTAGAGCCGTCAATTAACTTGCGGCATTATAAACAGTTTGGTTTCTACGTTGATTACAAAGGAGCCGTAGGGGGAGTTGAATGGTACAGGTAGAAATTAATCACATCTAGATTCCGTCGGACAACCATCCCGCTGCTAACGATTCCCGAAAGGATGAAACAGCCGTGCAATGCTTTTCCGGGCGTCTGAGGGTTGTTTGACTGAATCTAAATGTGACAAATTCTTACTGATGCCATACAACTCCCTCTACTATTCTCTTGTATTCATTCCGAACGGTTTGTCGGTTGTAGTGTCTAGTTATGGCATGAGCTTCGGCCCCTCGGAGTCTACAGCGCTGCCCCAGGATTGAATCATACCGGTTCTTGCCCTCAACCTTTTGGGGTGCACAAGTCGAACAGACAGATGGTTTCGTCTACTCTAAGAGCTGTGTTTTTGTTAGTGGCACTATCGAAAAACAAATTCTCCGCATCGCTAAAGGCCTGTTGGCATTTAACAATCTGAAACACTTATGGCATCTCCGGGACCCCTCCCTTCTCGAAATAAGGCCGCGTTTACAATGCCTCCGTTCACTCAGTGTTGATCTGTGATACTGAGTCCTGGCGAATTCACGTGGAAGACATGCGCCGGCTTTCCGCTTTTGACGATAATTGCTTGAGAAGGATCGCTCGTGTGTGATAGTAACACCGAGTTCACCGTGATAACATTGGACGTCGTGTTCTGAGAAATCCGAGCATTCTCTTCATCAGGCTTGTTTTGCTGAACCAGTCAAGGTGATTTAGTCACATACTACGCATGTCTTGTTGCCGCGCCGCGCCCCGTTAGCTTGTCTAGGAATGGGTTTGTGGCGACTGCATGGTTGTTAGCCTTCCACTTGTCGACAGCACATGAAATCCCTAACGTCATGTTAAACCGCCGTTAGACCATCGGGTCTTCGTGAAGTGGGACGACAGGATGACGAATGCCAGTGGCTCAGCACGCTTGAAAACGGATCGCTACCGGAATCGTTTGGAAAACTGTATACTCAATTGCCTTGATTCACCTGTATGGTGCTTCCGACTGAAAACGAAAGAGGACAATCTGCGTACTAACAACAGCACAACGACTGGGATAACCAAAGAAGGATGGTGCAGTTCATACAGAAGATGGGGGCTAGATACAGAACTGCTTAATGTCCAACGTACCAATCAGCTTTTCAACTTGTTACCGTGTATTTTTGCTCAACGACAAAGGAAGTGAGTGAGTGACTGTAGGCCAGCGACTGATATATGTGAATAAGACAGGCATTGGCAAGATAGCTAGAAACCAATCTGTCTGATTTGTATTGGAGCATTCCGGTCACAGCTTCGGCTAGACCGCTCGCCAGAACAATGTTACTTTTTGGTAGCCTATTGTCATATACTGTGACTGGTAAACATGCTCCAAGATGCATTTCAGGATGAAAACAAAAAGTGGTTATCATGTAAAACCACGAGTGGGTACATTTGAAAGGTTGCAGTTTCCACCGCCTTAAAAATCTATCTTGGTACCTAGATCTCCTGGGCTGGTTCCACGCACATTCACTATTTCCGCGTCATTCGATGCTGTGAAAACCGCAGTTTTTGTCCATGCCGTTATCCTGCTTGGTGATCTACGGTAAATCTGCATCAACACCGAGTAAGGCGGCGAGCGCCAATGTGTTATTCTATCGCGATGAGACTGGACCTTAACATGGTGCGATGGTTTACGTGCCTTAGCATTCCATTCAGCTGTACTGGATAATGCTTTTTGCACCTTCAGAGCCACTCATACCGGATTGGTCAACTGTTAGAGCCAGACCAACTCAGCCTTCTGGTCCTCCAGATAGGAGTTGAAGTGAAGGTGGCTGCATATTTCATAAAATGAACACTAGGTAGCCCAGTGCCAAAATTCCGCTGCCTTGCTTTCAGATTTCTGAACCAAAAGCTTTGGTTGAGAACTCTGATCGTTCTCCTGTCTAGGCCTGGGCAACCTGACATTATCGTGGCTATGCAGTGTAACCCTACGACTTTTCTTTCAAACAATATCTTGATGCTCTGACCTTCGCAGATGATAATCAACGAGGCCATATCTGCTGCATTGGTTGAATACACCGACTGATAGGGCGACGAGCCAGCCCCAATGGTGTTTGTGAGTTCATTTGTCCATCCCCTCCCCTTTATATTCCCCCTCCAATTACGATCACATTCCAACTGCGTACTGCATTATGTTGCTTGCTTTTTGAACTTTTTCATAGTCTGTAATTTTTGTATCATCTTTTTTGTATTGCGGCACATCAGCTGAGGGTGTTTCTCACCCTCAGCTAACGTGTATTTATGATGATGAGCCTTCACTAACTGACCCGTATTCAGTGCACCCATACTTTTTCAACCGGCCCTACCATGTCACACAGTATGTGTCTTGTCCCATCGCGGGCAAAATCACTTCATTTCATTTCTTTCATGTACCATTCCTGATTCTCCAAGTTACAGTGATGGAACAATTTTTGGATATTTTCCAATCACCCTTCGATCCGTGATGTACGCGTGACCGCATCTCCTTGACCATGCCAAAATGTACGTGTCTCGCACTGTCGAGAATTATGTTTATTTGATTAGTTAATAGGAACGGTGTGTTTTAGTAACATAGACATTACATGCAGCTGCATGGTCAGAATTCTACCTATTACAGGAATAGCGTCTCGCGTGGCTCATAAACATACATTACATTGTTGTTATTTTAACTAGTTCTTATAGAATACAAGGCACTTTAGTTGGGTTGCTGCTTGTCATCTTCATGTATGCGGTCCTCGACGCCGTCCCCATCAGGGGTTGCACACCGTATCGGATGCGGCGCGGTCACAGAATCAGTCGTACTCTGGCACTCGTCCTTTGATCTCCGGTTCGTGACTCTTTCATCTGCTCATTTCTCTAATTCTTCCTGCTTTTTTTGTTAGTGGTATGGTTCCGAATGGAATCGCTCACTGCTACACTCAAGCAGATAGCCATCGGCCCGTACCCTTGACCCTTTGTGTCCTGGCTGTACTTATAAGTACCACTTCGTTTAAATTGTAATACTGCTTCAGTTCAAACGTCATTCTTTCCGGTACTCTCAAGGATACGTACAATAGCCTTCTGTCAACAATTAAATAAGGGCCACAACTACGATACTTTGCTCTACAGTGTGTGGAGTAAAGTTCTGTGGGGCATGTCGAGCTATAGGTAACTTGATTCGAGACTCAAAAGCTTAAGGATCACAAGCCTGCCTTGTAATCGGAGGGCGCGGATCCGACCCTGCATAAGTACCGAGTGACCCCCGCAGTATTCGTAGTCCAAGTACTAACGATACGAAGCGTAAAATAAGTACGTCTTACGAAACCTAAACTACGAACTAATAAACCTGGACTAAACGCACGGTCTGGGCATAAGAAAAAACGAATTATCCTGCAACCGTGTCCTCAAGTAAGCAATTCAGGTTGAGGATACATCAAAGTTCCTTTTGAACTTTACACCCCCCGGCGGTTTTGTATTCCGGACGATGACTTCCACGTCATCATTCTCTTCTTCGTGGTACGCTTCTAGTAGGCATAGTTATCTGACGTCTCTTCTTAATACACCTTTACTTGTCCTCACCAGTGCTTCTCGAATTAATTTGTCTTTGCTCTTGCTAACTTCCTCCACAACACCCTTAGGTCACAGACTTCTTGATGTGCGTAAATCACAAACGAGAACTAAATCGCCCTACCTAAGATCTCCCAATTCAGTTAACCATTTATGCCTATTCTGCAATGTCGGTGGATATACTCTAATCCACCTACGCCAAAACATATCGGACAGGTGTCTTAGCTATCTCCACCTTCTGCTCAATTTGATTGGTAGGTTAATCAGTGGGTATTCAAGCGACTGATCATTTGCAAGCATTAAAATTTTCTGACACGATATAGCATCTTGCGAGTCCGGTGAGTCAGGTACCGCTACCAAAGGCCTATCATTCACTATTTTTCCGATCTCGGTGAGTGTCGTTACAAGTGCCACTTCCTTCACAACCTCGCCGTTGAGAATGTTGCGTAATAATTCACGATTCGATCGAATCAATCGTTCCCAAAGACCTCCGCGATGGCTAACACATGGAGGATTGAACTTCCAGTCAATCACTAGCCAACATCGGCTTTGTGATCTTCGTCTGATCCATCTGCTTCGGAAGACTGCGTAATTCTGCGTCAGCTCCGTGGAAATTCTATCCATTATCGCTGTACAATACATTCGGCCAGCCGCGTCTAGCTGGAAACTTCGAAAACGCACACAAGAACTAATCGGTGTCCATAGAATGGGAAACCTCTATGTAAACTGCCCGTGTAGTATGCGGACATCTTTCACTATCAGCGGTCCAAAATAGTTGATCCCCACTGCAGTGAACGCTGGTTGGTGGGTCAGACATTGGTCTGTTATATCTGGTGCCATCAGCTGACTCAGTGGCTTTTCATGCTTAACGCGGCATTTGACACATTTGAAAAGCACGCGCCTTATGGATGTAGCTCCACCTACGATCCAGTAGCGTTGATGAAGCTCGTACAAAGTGTGCTGCGCACCAATATGTTCATTGATGTAGTGGTAGTGCAGTATAAGAGGGCGAGTGACAAAGTGACGACCGGGAAATAAAATTGGATGCGTCGCCTCGCACGGTACCGAGAGTTGATCCAGCCGTCCGCCCACCCGAAGTATCCCAGTAATGAGGAAGGGCTTGAGTCGTCTTAATCTGCATGACCTCAGTTTTAAATTTCGAACGACTATATCGGGTTCGTTGTGCGCAAAGCGGCGCATCTCTTGGGCAAAATCTTCTGGTTGCACCTACTTAACTATCTGAAGCGTAGCCTGTCGAATTTCAGCACTTGGCGACGAATTAAGATTTGAGTCGGCATAAGGTAACGAAATATTTGCGCAGGGAATTCCATGTTGGACAAGCCTTAAATTTATTATTCCAATGCTCCTCCAAAGTGACCAAGAAAACATGTCTAACCTCGGGTCGTAACCATTCAGGCGGTAATTCACCCAGATTCACCGGATGCATAGGCCTTGACGAATGGGGCTGAACGAGAAATTGTTGCCCATGTAACCAATGGTTTATTTCCTTCTTGAGCGACTTCGTGAAGCTATATCAGCTAGGTACTGCTTCGAATTTACTTAGCGTCACTGACTGGGGTGAGAGTACTGTTGTGTCATAGTAATCCGGTTAGCAACATACTTCGGGAAACGCCTATTAACACTTCGAAGAATCTTCAGAACTACCATCAAGTCTGTCCAGAATGTTGTGCTACAAGGGAGTGCCATGTCTTCTCTGACTTTCGCTGATATGTGCCCTCTCAGTACCGCAGCAGTGAGCTCCAACCTTGGTATAAACACGGTTCTAATGGGACTGACACGTGATTTACTAAGAATCAGGAAGCTACTAACGTTGCCTTCAACAATCTCACATGCAAATATAAAGCAGCACCGTAACCAGCCTCAGACATATCCGAAAAACATGGCAACTGCACAGAAGATACACTGCATTGGAATGGATTAATACGACTTTCAACAGACAAGCTGTTCAGACCATTGGCGTTTGATAACCATTTGTTCCAAGCTTGCTGATCCTCTGCGGGAAGAGGCTCATCCCAATCGAGCTTCCTTTTTACCAAATAGTAACAGTGCCTTTGCCGGAAGTAGCACGGAACCAGTGAGTTTGAGAGGATCATCGATTGAAGCTACAAATGAGAGGATGGTTCTTCGGGACAATGTTTTATTAAAACTTTCTAGCTTACATGTTAGGTGGTCCTGAGTGACGTTCTAGTTTAAACCAAGCGCATTTGTGACACAATCGTCCTCAGTCGAATATCTTATTTCGCTGTCAGGTACATGCGCGATAACCTTTCAATTGCTGATCCATTTCTTCAAATGAAATCCTCCGTCGGACAGAATACGTGTGAGGTGTTTAATGATTTCTGTTGCTTCGTGAACAGAATCGATATTAAATAAACAATCGACGACATAAAAGGAGTCCTCTGTTACTTCTTTAACCTTTGGGATTCACAATAACTGTCAACGATAACTTGTCCTAACGCAAAGTTAGCACAGCTTGGTGACGAAGTAGCGCCAAACTGATCTAGTCATGCGGTATTCATTAGTGAGTGAACAAGGATTGCCATCCATCCACCACAGGAACCTCAAACAATTCCGATCCTTAATAGGAACCTTGACCTGATGAAACATCGCTTCAATGTCGGACGCGACGGCGATTGGGTGGAACCTGAACCGCAAAAGCGTCCCCACTAGACTGTTTGACATATCGGGACCAGGTAGAAGTTGTTGATTGAGGGAAGTTCCACGGTATGAAGCTTGACAATCGAAGACCACTCGCACTTTACCGGGCTTACGTGGATGCGATACTGAGTGGTGGAGTATGTACCAGGTTTCCCTTTAATCTGCTGTGCCTGTACTGGAGCGAGTTCAGCGTATCCTTCCACTTCCTTGGTGTATGCTTGGCGCAGTGCGGCATACTTCGACAAACGTTTCCTCAAAGTGACAAGCCTCATCAGTGCAAATCGCCGGTTATCTGGTAATCGAGGTCTCCCGGATTGCCATGCTAACGCAATCTCGTAGTGAGCGTCAACCTTTCTTTTATAAGCTTCCATTCGTTTTCTTGGGTGCATCTGTCGTTCACAGACATGGCTATCTTGCCCGTCAAATTTTCTTACATACATTTGCTCCAGTAGTTGATAAAGATCAGTGGTATCGCAGCGAAGTGAGTTGATCCTCCGTGTTCGATCAACTATCAGTGATGTAGATTGATCCCTCATAGTCTCATGCTTTTAGTTCGATCCCAGTACGATCCAGCCCAATGGAGTTTTAACAGCATATGGATCATCAGGATCCCCGCGTCTCTGATCTAATGCCCAGTGTAGGTTTGGATTATCGCGAGCAGTCAAAAGTTCAACCCTTCCTTCCAGTTCCGGTAACCGTAGATCGGAGAGGTGGGACTATCTGTCGAAATCGTTGTTCCTGTTTCTCGTTCTAAGTTTTTCAGGGAGACGGCTGACTGACCTAATTGAATCCAATTGGACCGCCTCATCACCATCTATAAATCGGACAGTTACACTAACCAACTGGGACTCCACTTAGCATCTGCCAGCAACGATGCTATTGTTAAGTGTCGTCACGTACCCTTGAACACCCATAACTTGTAGTATTGTTGAATCAATCAGTGAACTATCTGATCCATTATCTATTAAGGCTAACGTTTGAATAGTGCCAGCAGGACCAGAAACAAGCACAGGCAACAAACCAAGCGATACAACAGGGCGTTCGACGTGACTGAGAGCAAAACTGGATCCTTCAGTGCTTGGTGTTCCGAAGTTGCTTAGATCAGCGTGGAGTAGCGGGTGGTGCAACAGCTTACAATTGTTCGACCAACAACACCTTCGTGATCGGCAGCTTGGTAGGTCACTATTCGGTTTGAGACAGAGTTGACGCAGTCGATGGTCGCGACAGAATTCAAGACCTTCGTAGTGGTTGAGCTTTTGGAAATCATCTTACTGATCTAAATAGTGACCTCGTTCACAGGAAACACATTTGGGGAAATTTCGTTCTGATGAAGCCACAGTGTTTATGCAAGCGAAAGGACAAGTAAGTATCGACGACGTCTGCGGTTTCATCCACGAAATCTTTCAAATCATTGGAGTTCGTTTCTCTTTCGGTGCGGTTAAGTGGCTGCGTGCTCGTTAAAGCCGACTCCAGTAGAGGAATGCAGGATTCAGCTCTTTGAAACTTCTCAGCATCAGTAGCGTCAACACCATCAAGAGAATCACCAGAAACGGACTATTCACGCACTACTCAAAGTATGTACGAAACCTAAACTAGAAAGTACGAACCAATAAACCTAGACTAAACGCACGGTCTGGGCAGAAGAATAAAACGAATTCTCTTATAACTGTGTCTTCAAGTAAGCAAACCAAGTTGAGGAGACATCAAAGTTCCTTTTGGACTTTACAGTCCATGCGCGACCATTGACAGTTGCGCGACAGCGAAGTGTCCATAATGAGCACCGGCGTAATGCTGATGCCAGAAAGATAGCCACTGCACTTAATGCAGATGAGCTCGTGACCTTGTCATTCTTTCTAGAATCGCCAGCAGTGCGCACTTTCTTCTGTACACTGCAGGACTATATCGCGCGTCCATACTTTTAACAGTCCGTAGTTAAGACCGCGGGTGATGGGCGACTGCCATCGTATCCAACTTTGCTACAGCGCGTGTACCCATCCTCGACTGCCACGCGCGTTTCTAACATGCGTAGAATATCGTTGGGTTCTTAGCCGCGTCGCCTCTTGCTGAACCGCCATCATTCGACAGCATAGAAAGCTGGCTTGGGCAATTGCAGATTTTCAGAAAGTAGTGAATGGAGAATCGTTGACTACACCCACAGGGGAGATATATGCAACACTTCTGTTCATGATGATGTAAAGGCTGGAAGTCCCATGAAGCAAGAAACTGAGGTGCACTCAACAAAAATCAACCAACTGATCTTGACACTATCTCGACAACCACTCTGCTGATGTGTGCACGCGAATCACTTGCTGATACATCCCAAGAAACCTCCGTCACCAGACACACATGGAAGGCCATGGAACTACGCTGGGTTTTTTTTGTTGTTTCCTTAGAGGCACTAAACTCAGTTTAGATGATCATCCTAGCGTGCCTTAGCTACGAAACGGGGGAATGGATTTTCCATCCACCGCATCCTCCGAAACTCGGTCCCCGAAAATGCTGGAAGCCCTCTTGTCCGGTCGTGAATTGCTCGACTGCTGCTTCCTAGAAGGGGCAGCACAGTGGATACTGTCAATCGTTAGAACACCTTTGTCCGTATGTACATACATAGGTAGAATTTTTGTGCTACTTTCTATATGTCTTGGAAACCCATTGTCGCAGTCTGTTTTTAAAGCATCGTACCCCTGGATCAGCATCTCGTCATATTTTATCCCAGATATACTACTCGTTAGTAGTGTCAGCTCGAGTTAAAGTAGGCCACATGAACGCGGTGAGACCCTACCAATTACATTGCTGCGGGTGCTAGGTCGCAAACTCCCTTGCTGACCAGCCATCGTCCGATAGCATTTTAAGCTATCCATGGTAATTATTGTTATTTGGCTAGAGTTGAAAGGACAGTGGTGGATTAGACCCCCCAGCGGAATGAAGGAATGTGCATTGCTGACGATTTCAGAAGAGATGAAATGTCGTGGACTGATTTTCTGGACTTGAATCCAAATTCATCATTTCGCTCTCTCCAATAGCAGTAATATTGTTATCGTTGTTACTATTATTAATTTGGCGATGAGAATCAAGGTAGCTATATCCAAGCCACGATGATGCACCAATCAATTTTTGTAACTTAAACTGAACAATGCACCATCGCTTGCTCGATTGACCTACTACGCAGGCATATGCTGTAGTACGATTATCATATCACCCTACTTTTGGTTCTGCTACTGTTAAACCCTATCCTGACACGGGAATACCTCTGTCGATGTTCTTATACTCTAACAGCTTTTCAAAAGCTGAACGTTTCGCTTTTTGTGACAGACTAGTAAGTAACTCAAGTGTAATTAGTTTGAATCCAGTCACTAACTTTTGCTTGGCAGATAGAAATCTACCTGTCTTTCTTACATACGATAGTCTTAAAGTGTTACCGCAATTTTTAGTGGTTCACTTATCAATTGCAGTGCCACAGCGAATTCGCGCCATCGTCTTTTTCACTCGTCATGTGCGTTCATCCAGTATGATCTACCCATTTCAGCTAACCCCCATCGAGTCAACGCTCTGCGTGCGCTTCTTGCAAAGGGCGGCGTTCCGGCTTCTTTTTTCTCGACAGATTCCGCCTATTTGGACGCAGCGTCTTCCGTTAACTTCTTCGCGAATCGCTCGCTGTACGTCGCCTTTGTCCTCCTCATGCTACACGCAAGAGAAAGAGAATGTGGACAGGGCATCACCAGACACAATTACAGTGAACCACTTGGATCCGAATGAGTGGATTCCTATTTACAGATTCACTGTTATGCCATACTTTCAGGTCAGCTTTTATTTTATGACAGTATCATGTTCCACCACTCTTTTCCTCCTTTGTAGTATCGTACACTAGAAACCTGAATGCATGCTTTCATTTATAAATAAATAAAATGTCTATTCTCGACTACGCGATCCACGCGTGCACAGGCATGATCATAGTAAGAGTACAGTTGTGATCAGTTAATGTACAATAGGACAGTAGAATCGTCACATATGTTGGTATATGAATGTATGGGTGCATGTAAGCGTGTGTAACCGTGTTTATCAGATGTGTGAATGCTTTCCTGCATTTTTGATCCTGTCGCCAGTGTTAATGGGATGCTTGATGTTTGTAGAATTGAAGCGGTTGTCCGGATAAGCAAAGGCGTGACTTTAGTTGGTGGAGAGCCACAACTGCCACTTCATAGTGTTGTTAAATAGGCATTTGTAGCTTTTTATAAGGAGAACGCTTGCCAGGCGAAAACCCACTACGTCCTGGCACACTGCCGCTGAACTGTTTGCTGGAACTGGGTAAACCCGAACCACCCAGCTGGCACCACGAGGAGGTTGTTCGGCTAGCCACACACACCCTATTGTCACTGAGTCCGCGGCGCACAATGACTTTACTCTCACTCGTTCGGGAGTGTATATTTCTGATGCACTAGCAGAACGGACTCACTCGAGGTTTGCACCAAGGTATCTCTTAGCTGTTCCTGTTGCTGATTCTGATGACGCGGTGCTTTCGTATGATATAGTGTTCTTCCTGTTTGCCTCTTCCACTGCGATATGCGTAATTTTCTAATTAATGATTATTCGGTTCATTACGCATGTCATCTTGATGTTTTAATCTGAGCCTGATCATGCTACGAGTTGGTTTTGTATACAGGCACCGGCTGACTCGATGTTAGAGCCTCGGTTGAACGCATTGTAACTGCGGATTATCGTTCCATCAACGTCTAGATCGCACATTTGCATCAGTGTGGGGCTTGGTGCTACGATCTCCAAAGAGAACTGGATATTATGTTGCTTTTCGGGCTATCATGACATTTGATACCGAGCCACACTCAGGCATCTTTCAATCTATCTTTGATTGCATCCAGGCGTAGTTACCACGGCCAAGACGTGTAGTAACAACTAACAAATTCTGCAGCTTGTGTTAGTTCGTTTCAGTAATGAGAGTGTACTTGCGCCCCCAGGGCGCATTATTACAGGTACTGCATGCCCTCCCTCAATGTGTTTCCCGTGCGCAGATCAGTGCATTTTGCATTTCCAATTCGCGATATAGCCAGGTGTTTGTGACCGTATATTATCTACAAGACCCAGACACTTTGACCCTAAATGTTTGCTTACGGCGTTTAGGCTTTAAACTATGTCCCCGTCTCTCTTTCTTATTATTCCTCATTTCTTAGATCACTGTTTGTATAGAGGCGAGACCTCAGTTCAAATTACTGATGTGCTGCCGTTTGGAGTGATCATGACAGTTGTTCTCAAGAACCCTTAAAATTTCGGTTTTCTCCTTGTTATCCTTTGGGCTACGAAATAGCGAAACCACCTTTAATAGAATCTTTTTAACTGGTGCGGACTTCTGTTCGTGGTACACATTTCATGGACCGCACGATGTGCGGCCGATACTACACAGCGTCATCTCGTGAGGTATTCATGAGCCCACCAACAGCACTAGCCAGTGAACTATCTACTTGTAGGACCGCATTCCCCTACCGTCTTCCAAGAATCCATGCAAATCGCCGTGTACATGGAACAGTTTGGGTCTTCATTTGTTTGGTATCCAACTTGCATCATCAACGGATGGAGGCAGCACCAGACTGGGATAGGTGCGTTGGTATGTGTAGACGATGTTCGTTTGGAAGTATCGAAATATTCTCACTGTTCCCACGTTCATGCTGCTACATATCATGCAATAACAACCCTGCGGCGTATTCACTCTCCATCTGACACGTGCTGCTTTTCTTTTTTTCCAATTTCAGGTACTTTCTCTGATGAAATTCTCCGTAACCGCACTACTGTGTGTTGGGTCACCTGTCGTCCTTGGGGCGGCGTATTACTCCTACGTAACTACCCTGTTTGCTTGCACTTTCCTTGGTTCCACGGTTCTCTCTCTGTGCTCTCTGGCTGTGTTTAGTCACTTTTCGACGAAGCTGATCGGAGTGGTGAGTATTATGTACACATGTGATTTCATTGTTTTTATCCGAGTTATGTGTCTCACCGACACCTGCTTTCTTCTGATCTAACAGCTCTACATTCTATATGGCTCCCTATTGACCGTTTGCGGAACAACCAACACGTTATCCTACCTTCATTTGCTCATCGATCACGGCAGTCACGTGTTGTTGACAACTGGTGTTCGTTACTAACCACCTACCACCAAATATCCTTGTCCACTTCTTGGCCTACTGAATAGTACCTTCCCATTCTTATGATCATTTGGCGTACTGGAGACTGGCCGCTGTGGAGAAAATCGAACGCACATCTCCGTTAGAAAGGGTCTTCGTTCTTCTCTGGGCATTTGGAAACGGCGTACCTTAAACAGACCCACATTTCAGCGCCAGCCACGCACCTGTAACGTTATTATGCATTATTTGAACTAGGCACTAAATTTCGCTGCCGTCAGAAAACTACCATTCTGAGGTTGTGTTTCGTTACTGCGTGTTGTCTTCCTGGTTACTTCTCTCTGGAGTAATAGTTGGGCGTTTTCTGCATTTGCGCACTCGAAGAACTAATCACAATGGACCTTTTGCTTCTAACTTAGGCGCTTCACTTCCGACGCTTATGACATTTCTTAGGCTAACAAGTTTTTTAATCATTTCTTTCGCACATTTGGTGACGATGAATTTTAGTGAGGCACAAGGAAAGACAACTAAATCCATACCGCACTTTGTGTCTGAGTGCTTTTTGCTCAGGTGGACTAAACGACCAACCGTACCACTTGCGGTTGCCAAACAACGTGGGAATAAAGTGAATGCTTTGGATGTACTCTGTTTTAATTTTTAATGGTCTCCACTTGCATTGATGGCGTCATGTCATGCAAAAGACCTTGAAAGCATTGTGTGTAATTAGAAGCACTGACATTCTTCGAAATCACGGGATATACGTGGAACTGATCAAGTAGTCATGACTTCAAAGGGATTTGGTAACCGATTGTTACCAAACCTTCATGAACCTCCAAGAGTCTTATTTTGCAAATAGAAAGTTACTCTTGCATGCCACAAAGTTTCAACTACGTTTATCTGCGCCCAAATTTCCACTTACTGCAAGGCTTAACGACAAGATTTTTACGGACATGCTCTGTAAATTGCACGGAATACTTACCTCATTTCGGTGACTCCTATCTACTTTACTGACGTGCAGTCTAGGTGTTCGTGTGAACTTGCTATTTCTTGTAACTGTTATTTACCGCTCAGAAGCTATATCTCAGTCGTCATGTCCCCACTTCCAACGGCGTCAGGTGTAATACACTGAGAATCTAATATCTTGTGGGTACCCATTCCACGTTTGGTAGCTGATCTCTCGTACCTTACTGCGTCACTCCCCGTTGGCTTGTTACAGCACTAGCCCAATGCGTCTGATACTCTCTTCTTTTCTGGGCATCCACTGGAATTGGTGAACAAATTTATCGTGTTGGCGACTTGACAGATGAGTTTCCTTTGAGTGTCTTCAAGGCTAGAGTAGCTTTCGCTTACCTCCGTCACTTGTGGCGCCGTCGTGACTTCAGCCTCACTCTGAAGGGCCCGGTCTACACTACTGCGGTACGAGCGATTCTGCTGCGTGGCTGCGAGACTTGACCCGTTCTCAAGAGTAATCTTCAGTGATTAGCTGCCTACGGAGCATTGTCTGTGTTCGATGCTTGCCTCACCCCAGTAATGTGGAGGTTCGTCAGCGAGTCTTCAAATCGGAAAAACTCTGCAGACCGCTTGACAGCAACATTTCACTGCGGAGGTTTCACTAGCGGTTACCCAGACGTGCCCTCTTTGCACATGCAGGCGTAGGCTGGAAGAGACGATGAGGGGGCCAATGTAAAACCTGTATCTACTATGTTAATACGCAAACATCGAAGCTGGCTGTTATTGGGCGCTGCCAACTCCCGGATTAGGGACCAAAATATCACAAGCACATCTGGTTGCAAACGCTACTGGATATGTCCAGGGGCCGTAACCAATGGCGCACTTGCTATGAGACTCTTTTTTATTTTTCCCTTTTAATATGATGTCCTTTCTCTTACGTGTTATAACACTCAGCCAATTGAATTCTAATAGGTAAAGCGTTGAATATATATATATATATATATATATATATATATATATATAGAGTTGGATTGATTAGTGTTTTTCGAACACTTATTCGTCACTTGTTAGCTCAACTCATCGATCATAATTTTCCAACACACCCCTATTATGTTTATGCTTCGCGTACGAGACGGTTCATTGTTTTCCGGGTGCTTTCTCGATTTTCAGATTAGCATCCACGCCCCATCCGGTCTCATCCGAATAGGCCACTTGACCTTTTGGGGTCGGCGTCGTAACACGCTGGTGCACCTAGACGATTTGGTTCAGCCTGCAGACTTCGCCGATTCACCCGAAACTGACCGAACTGTGCGAGTGGGAATCCTCGGCGAAGACAAAGGGAGCCGGGTAGAGAAAACGTTTCTCCTCACACGTCTGTGCGGTCAGGTGGTTGATCAAGAGCGTTTCCTGCAAAGTTTAGGATTTGTATGGGAGTAGTTTGTTGTCATAATAACTTCCAATAAAAATATTCTCACTTCGCATATGGCGTTTCATTCGTGAGTCGTGGTCATCGAATTCTTTTCGAACTGTATTGGCATATATGGTTGAATAGTAGTAAATTTGCAAAATCGAAATTTTTAAGCGGATAGTTTAGTTGCCTTGTATATCCATGTCCCGGAATGCGGATATGTGAATTCTGACCTAAGATTGAAGATTTTGCGCAGCTTCTTACTGAATTCGAGCACCCCCCACCATCATCCTAGACGGTCCGCGACCACACAGTAACACTATCTATGTCTTCTGGCGCAATATTGAAGTTGTTGCTGTGCCTTTGCCATTTTTTGAAGAGGTAAATACACAGGGGTGATCAATTGCAAAACTATTCTCTATTTAAATAAATAAACGGTTTATTCCTCTCCCTTGCGACAGTCAATTGAGTGACCTGATCAATATGTACAACATGATCGCATAAAATAATTAATTGTGCTTGTTTTGTATAACGAATCCCAAATGGGCTTTTGAAGTGATTGGCAGTCTGAAGATATCAGAGTGGTTAAGAAAATGGGAACAATAACAAATGCAGATTTAGCCAAAAGGTCAATTAAAAAGTAATACAACCAATCGTGGAACCGGACCCCAGAGGGCTTGCTTCCGTGCAGAGTATTCCCTCGATGGGTTTCTCCCGCACTTCCATGCTGTAACTGATTGTGTGCCGGGGTGACAAAATAGCATGTAAGCCATCACCTGTTTCACAACTGTTTTTAATAGGGTTGTTTTATGCAAGCATTATCGACGATGAAGCCTCAGCCCGTTCCGACATGCAGGTCATTCAAGTATGGCAACTTTTGCTTGTATGACAGTGAATCAATAGCAGTATGCCATTCATTGGGATAGCTTTTTTAGCCTAGAAACTATAATCCGTCAACTCAAGAGATCAGCCCACTCGTGACCAACAACCAAATAAGGAAGAATGTAACGTATAAAGGATTCGAAAACATCTTACTAATAACTACGTTTTGTAGATAGGCCAACCACAAGTTCCTGGGGATTCTTGGTGAATAACGACGATGGTACAGAAATTTCGAGAGAAAGAGTTACTACATTCCGTCCAGAGTACTTTAAGGAATAGAGAGCAGTAAAGATAATTAAAATGCCGTTGATACTGTCTCTGCAGTCGTGGATGCTTTATCTCAAAGGACGAACAATTGAAACGATCGGAATTGGAAGACGACAGTGGTCGCAAAGAAATTTTCGTTATCAATCGCTCAGTGACGACATGAAAAAGAGATAAGAGGTGTTCGGATGAATACAGAAAGTTAACCTATATCAATTTTCGAGTGATATTAAAGATAAAACGCAGATATAGACTAATCCTCTTCAACAAATGGCTATCGTGGTCTTTTTGTTTCAAATATGACCCCATCCTTCCATAACCAATTCATCGCCGTTCATTCGCAAATTTAAGATGTTTCACTTTTGTTGATGTCAAAAAACTTCATCATTTTGTTGAATACCCTCATGCTTTTTGTATATCCTATACAACTAGGTAGCTTATTCTATATCAGGCTGACTGTCTGACTGGTCTTGAGTGGAGGTACTGCAAGCATATCATACCCGGTTCTCAACGGAAATTGTATAGAGCGGTGTTCACTATGCACGTTATTCCACACTAATTTGTGAAGGAAACCAAGATTTAAATGTACTATACGCTGCCATAAAGGCAGAAGTTTTACTTCACTACACCTATCTTTATAAGGAGCAAGTGTAGAGTAAACAAAGATGCGTTTGGTGAAGACGCGTTGAACCTTTTCTACGGCCTTCAAGTCACATGTACGTAAATGGCTGAACGTAACGCAACAGTATTCCAACAAAAGTCATACCCTGATTTTGTATACTATGAGCCTTGTCTCTTTCAGCCTTAGTAACTGACTAATATGTCCCGATACTTGCATTGCATGTTCGCTGAAATTTCAGGACCTGGTATATCTTAGTCGTAAATCTCTGACAGAAAAGCAAACTGGCATGGGATCGCCATTAAGTAGAAATATTCCTACCTCTATATGGCATCCATAAGTCATGATATTGCATTTTGATGTAGAGAATTGCATCTGCTATTTTGCAGCCTAGCCGTTTATGGTTTTGTAGAGCACATTTAATATTTGCTATCTCAGTTATCTATTAGAATGAAAGGGACGAATACATTATCTTGAAATCATTTGAAAACAAGTATGATCTTCAGAAGCGCACGACAGGTATAAGGTCGTTTATGTACAGTAGAAAAAGAAGCGGACCTAAAACGTTGCTTGAACGACATGTTGTGGCGTAGGCATGAACTCATTTATGTTCACTGTCTGGGATCATCCAGTCAGATAGGATTTAAACCAAGAAAGAAGCGATTTTAGTTATGGGAACACTACTCAGTTTCGATAATAACCTCTTGTGTGTGACTCAATCGAACGCTTTCTGCGTGTCGATATAAGACAGTGCATTTATGACCAGAGTCAATCACCCTGGTGAGATTATTAAAGTAATCACTTTAGCCTGTTATGTACGAACAAGATTTTAAAAAGTCGTGCTGCGAAGGTGAAAGAAGACTGTGCGATAAGAGGAAAAAGTGCTTTGTTCCTTTACAATTATCACCATGAATCGTGATAAAATGGGGGTGTGACTAATGGGACGATGATTACGAATATATGTTTTGGGCCCAGACTTACATCGCGGTATGCTAACAGATTCCTTTTATCTCTCAAGATACTGGCCTGATTGTAAGGACAGGGAAGAATATTCAATAATAATACTGGTATATCGTCACCACCACGTTTGTTTGCGGCTGAAGAGATACCATGGGGAATACGGTTATGAGATGGTCGACGCAAGTTAATCAAACGTTTAATGATTCCGATGTTAAAATCGACAACCAAAATAATTTCGGCGTTGACAGATGAGACTGAAGATACCAGAACCGTATTTTCTTTGCTGAATGACGCAGCAAAGTATGCACCAAAGGCACCTACCATAGCAGTAGACGGCAACGCTGCCGTCTGGTGTGATAAAATGTGACGATAGGTCTGTTTGTCTCACTTTTCCCTTCTTCAATAACTTACCTAGTTCACAAGTTGTGTTTTTGCTGTGTAAAATGCTCTCCTCCTCTTTCCTAAGATGCACAGCTTTCCTTGCATCCGTTAAAACTAAAAGTCTTTGGAGACGCAACAGCACGCTGAAATCACAAGTTATTTTTTCATATGTTCGAGCTGGTCTACGCATTTGGTTTCTATCTTTTACAACAACAGTTGAGCTAGCCGAAGATCTTGCACTAGGTTTATTTTTGTTGATAGTTAATAATTTCATGCAATATTATATGCTGGGATGAAACTGAGCAGATACATCCTGGAGGTCATGAGAAAAAAATGTTCTCAATTTTGAGACCGGAGTATAATGGCAAATGATTTCCCTTTTACACTTTGAAGGAGGAAAGACTATTTTTGAATAGACCAGTTGACGTTCGACCACTATTTTGCAGGCGACTAATTTGTGGTCGCATCCTGGGAGGCCACGTAGTACCTCAATGAAAATGGAAATAGGGCTTATAGTAAAAACTAAGTCCAGCACACTTTTATCCCTTGTATGTGAAATGATATCCTGAGTTCATCCTTAAGTCATAATAAAAGTTGCAAAGTATGCCTGATTCCTGCTTGGTACTAATCTAGACCAGTATATGTCAGACAGCTTGAAGTCCCCACACATGATCTTATTTTGCAGTGTAAGTCCCGAAATGTAGCTAAAATTGTTTACTAATTGGATCCCTTTATACTTGCAGGCACCAGGTGGGTAGTATATGCAACCTACAATAGATCGGTTTCCACCGAACAACATACGTAGCCAGAGGGAATCAAGAGAGGGACAGCTAAGCGCAAGTGTGCACTCAGAAACAAGCAGGTTTTGTGAGTAGTAAGTAATGCGACCTCCAGCCCTACCTGTCTTTCGGTTACTTCTTATCAGTTTATATCCGTCAAATGAAATCATTTGACTTAATACATTTGCGCTGCACCAAGTTTCAGTAAGCAAGACAAGATCAGGTTTATTAAGATGCACGTAGATACAGAGTAATTGAATCTTATTTAACAATGACCGTATATTAAGCAACACCATTCGGTAAGCATTCTGACTCAGATTTGAGCCACAATCCTCGTTAGAATTTGAGTCTATATTAGCTGCAGAGCTATCCGCACTCACATTGAGATTTAAGACACCAGTTGAAAACAAAAAGGGAGGCGAAATGGGTGGAGCAGTTCCAAAAGATGGGGTAGTTTGGGACTTTAACAGTTGCAAATGAGGTAGCATTTTGGTGCTACTCAAAGGAGATGAACATGGACAACAACAGCAGTACATCAGCCATTTGAATTGATGCTTCGCTGCCATGCAACCTTAACGACCTATGGAATGAACAGTAATAAGAGAAAGGGTGACTTACCTGAAAACCTTGATGCCCTAAGCAAACATTCAGGGTCAAGGTGGCTACACCGTGTGTTAACAACATACCGTCACAAAAAGTTGCCTATCGTGAAAAGTTAACACTGCATCTGTGAGAGATTTGTTGCGGCTTTCACTTCCCCGCGTCATAATCAGCCATCACCCCGCAGAGCACTCAGCAGCAAACAAACTTTCAAATGTCAATCCGACTAGGAGGCGGCAGCAGACGCGCCACTGGTGTCGGTTTCGAGCCATGTCCTGTAAAGTCCGGAGCCATGCACACCGCGAGTCACGTGGACTCCAGCCCAGAAGGCGAGACGGACAAACGGCACCCAGTTTGATCGCCAATGACTTCGATTCCTGCGGCCAGCTGAACTTCTGTCTGCCTCCAGCGCTGAGCAGCCGTGCGTACCACATGCCGAAGGCAACGCAACTTATTCAGCGTTATGTATTGCTCTAGTGAGCTAGCATGATCCTTACAACCTATTACTCGCCAACGCACATCATCGTTGCGTGAACTGACCAGTTTCTACGCGACCATCGCTGCTGATGCGGCTGCCAAGGTAAGTGAATTGATCAACCATCTGGAGTTCCTCGTTAGTAACGGTCAAGGGGTCGTAAAGTGCACGACGAATTTGAACAAAAACGGGGAAATCGGACAGTCCTGACAAACGCCACTTGTGGTCAGAAAGCTATCCGA